TTCTTCCTTCCTTCCTTCCTTTCTTTCTTTTTATGGTATGCGGGAATTGAACTCAGTAGCATTCTACCACTGAGCTACATACCAGCCTTTTATTTTGAGGCAGGGTTGCTGAGGTTGCCCTTGAACTTGCAGTCCTCTTGCCTCAGCCTCCTGAGTCTTTGGGACTATAGGCATGTGTCACTGTGCCCAGCAATAAGCATACTTTTTAATGAGATGATAAGGCATAACTTCAAAAAAGGGTAAAAAATAAGAAATATTTATAAATTAGAGAAATTCAAACTCAAAATAACTTCTATTCTTACTGAAAGACCCTAAGCCTCTCACTGTCCAAATGTGGGTTTTGTCTAACTTAAACAAAACAAAAAATTTTCTATACCCTAGAGAGCCCTTCTGGGCATCTCTGATCAGGTAGGCCAGGAACTCATTTACAGTTTTTTTTTTTTTTTTGAAAAGCAGGCAGAGAAGCAAAACTCTCAAATTCAGTGCTCTCCCTCTGCTTCTCCTAGCACAGCTTAATGTTCAGCTTTCTTGTCCTGCACCAGGATTCAAGGAGCAGTTTCCTGGCCCCAGATGTAAACTGGTTATTGAACGTTCCTTTACCCTGGTGTCTTAATTCCAATTCTTTTTTTCTTTGTACTGGGGATTGAACCCGAAACACTTTGCCGCTGAGCTACATCCCCAGCTCTTTTTAGTTTTAATTTTGAGATGCTGGCTTACTAGATAATTTCTAACATATCTAAAGAAAAAAAAGCACAGAAGTAACCTCAGGAAGGACACCCAGGAAGGGGGAGAACTGAAGACACAGCATAGCAGCTGTACAGTAAGGAGCTGGGGATTTCATTCTAATCACTCTTCTACAGTAATTGGCCTGTGGGACATTAAGTCAGACTCTCAACCCCTGAGAGAATATTATCCCAACTGCTGCAGATGATTGATCTAGGCACAGATGATCTAGGTAATATGATTTCTAAGATATTATCTTAAGACTATCCAATTAGTTACTATCATATAGAATCCATAAGATATCATCTTATTTCTAATCAAGAAAGATAATTCAACATTGTCATTCCACAGAGATGTGGACAGGACATTGACCAGTTTACTACCTGTCTCAATCCTCACCTTAATTTTGCAAGTAAGTCAGACTTAAGATGAAAGAACTATAAAATCCTGATTGTGGGACTGGGGATGTGACTCAGTGATTAAGCACTCCTGGGTTCAATCCCTGGCACCAAAAAAGTATGAAGTTAAAAAGCTCATAATGTGACCCATTCCAAAGGTGAATAGACAAGTATAAGAATAGCATTCAGTGTTCTATTTTACATTACATTAAGGGAGCAAGTTTGAAAATAAAGGATATTTGTGAAAGACATTTTATTTATTTATTTAGTTAGTTAGTTGGTTAGCAGTACTGGGGACTGAACCCAGGGGTTTTTTAACCACTGAACTACATCCTCAGTCCTTTCTATTTTTTACTTTGAGATAGGATGTTGCCAAGTTGCTGAGGCTGGCCTTGCTCTCCTGCCTCAGCTTCCCAAATTACTGGGATTACAGCACGTGCCACCATGCCCAGCTAAGAAAATTTAATTAACACTTTAACACAAAAGGCCCCTAATTTGACTGTATGTCTAATATTGGTTTACACAAATTGTTTTTGTTTTTTTTAAAGGAAAGGTTTTGGTTAGAAAGGAAAGAATAGGAAGTAGTTCCAACATTTATCACTTTTTGAGATTAATTATGAAATAACATCAATACTCATAATATTGTACATTACAATAATATCATAACTTTTATACAATACAAAATATATGAATACACATACACACATACAGAACATGCACACGTTACATTTTTTAAAGATTATAAACACTGAAACTTTCCCAGTTTCTTCATAAAGTACTTGAGGTAACCATAACTTGTAATTTTTAACAATTATGTGCTTTTATACTGCACAGTAATTCTTTGGTTTTATTTAAAATCATTTTAGCCACGTAAAACAAGTAGCTTATCTTAAAAGCTTATTGTTCCTTCCATGATATATGAAAAATAAGACTTTTACTTTATAAATAATTCAACATTCATGTACTGTAAATCCATAGGATGAATAAAACTTAAAACCAAGATGTTAACTGAAGGATTATATGATTACTGAACTTTTCAGGAGGCTGTAATGATGATGATATTGTTGAATTTGGGTCAAATCCCCAGGAGTAAATGAATGAGTACCAAAAACCAATCACACACATAAGAAAGGCATGCTTGGTTAAGTGGGAAATAAATAGCAAAATGAAATCTACCAACGTGAATCATTTAAAGTTTCCTTTGGAAAGTCAGAGCCTGGAATTCCCAAGGTACAGATGAAAAGCCATAGACAATATGATTGAAGTAAAAGAAATGTTCATAACAAAGACCATTTGCATTTTGGTGGATAAGTGGGTGATTTCTGGAGCTGTAAACTCATCTACTAAAAAGTTGAGAGCAGCACCGATTTCATCACTGCTAAATGCAATCATTCAGCCACGTTCTAAAATGAGAAAGTTCTTGTCGCAAGGAAAATTCTGTTCAGCCGTTTATTGCTTTTTTACTCTGAAGTTTTTTTCTTCCTATTTAAGAAACGTAGGGAAAGCAACTTCAGATGCTTATTTTCATCTGTAAACATCCAGAAAAAAAAAAGCATTAAGTAAATAACATAACACTTTTTTTGTTTTCCTTTTGACTGTACCTCTATCTGGAGAATTTAGTAAAGTTGCAGATGAGGAGGAGAGCCGCTTGCTAATGACGGGATCAACATGTTTCGAAAGATTCATGGTGGAAACTGACCTCCTGTCTGGATCTAAAACAAATGGAGATAATGCTAATTGACAGCCAGCATGCAGGATTGCAATTTTCCTAGCTCACTGATGGAAGGAGAAACTAGCATTGGATGCTTTCAGCTCTATTTCTAGATCTTTCATAATAGCACAGTTTTTTAAGTGGACAAGCTAAAGGTAACTTAAAGGCTAGAAATAAAATTCATTTTTTTTTCTTACAGAATAAATATTCAGTGCACCAGTTTGAAACTCAAGGATACTGTTATAACAAGTGAATGAAGACAAAAGGAGGGCCAATAAAGAGCTATGAAAATAACAGACTATGAAGCAAAGAGAGGACCATAAAGTGAATGGCTTCATCATTTCTGAAGGTAGGAACGATAGGGTGGTGATGGTGCTGGTAAAATATACTGCAAACACTGGGAAAAAAACACAGCAGATTCTGTTTAGCTGTTGATGCTTTTTAAAAAAAAAAACAGCCAGGCATTACAGTTCATTAAAGAAGAATGGTTTTAAGAACAAGAAAGACAAAGAAATGCTCTTGGTGTGGAAAGGATGGCCATACATCCTTTCTTTCATAAAAGTCTACGAATAACCACACTTTAGTGCCCCATGAGCTTAGTGTGGCCTACAAATGGATAATCAGGGCAAAAACTTGCCCAACAAAATCAATAGCAATGTAATTAAAATAAGAATTCTTTGTAAGCTGATGAGTACTATTGTTCATCCTGGAAATAACTTAAAAATAATTCTTAAAGTTCAAGTCAAAAGGAAAGTAGCCACATAAAAGACAAAAGTCAGCTCTGTTAAACTGCTGCTGGTACAGTGGAACCAAGTTGTAATCATGCTTGTCAGCACAAGTTATATTCCCCAAATAATATTACCTATAATAAAAGTCTAAAACTCTCATCATAAATGTGTCCAGGAGGAAAGTGGATGTTCTGATCTAAAATAATTTAAGTTAAAGAAGTTTTGTTGTGTTTTATTTTCTATTGTTGGAAACTAAAACAAAAGCAAAGACGTTCCTTGTGGCAGACCCTTCAAAACTCAGTTCCCATTGGTCTAATGAACTGCGGCAGTAAACACTGTGCAAAAAAATTCCCCCAAGGAATAAGTTTTTGACTACTATGGATGATGTACTGGTGATAAGCAAGTCTTCCATTAGCATCACATATTTCTTTTCTTGGTAAAGGGAATTGAATCTAGAGGTGTTCTACCACGGAGCCACATCCTTAACCCTTTATTAATTCTGAGACAGGGTCTAAGTTGCATAGACCTTGCTAAGTTGCTGAGGCTGGCCTGGAACTTGTGATCCTCCTGCCTCAACCTCCTGAGCTGCTGGGATTATAGGCATGTGCCACCACACCTGGCTATGGATTTCTATTTTCAACTGGGATTTATTCATATGGTTGAAATGATTTTATTAAAAAAAAAAAAAAAAAGACGTCACACACCATTTCCGTGTCTTACATTTACACTTAACTGTAAATGTAAGTGAGGTTCTTGGGGTTGTCCCAACGATGACAACATTTAGGGAAAACATTAAAAGGAACATCCTCATGATGGGCACAAGGAAGGAGAATGAAAGCCACTTCCAGGTAATTCGATAGCGACATATTTTCTGGTACTGCTCTTTATACAATAAGCTTCAGTTGGAGGTAAATTATATCATATGCATGCCTATCTTCAGGCAGATTCTCCATAGCGTATTAAAAAAATTCACTTTTTTTTTGTTTCAGAGTAAAAGGAAAAAATTAGCTAGACTAGGTCTTCCTATCCCTCCAAAATGCTGTGAATGGTAAAACATCTAATGGTTAAAATTACTGAACTATGCCATGAATGTATTTTCTGACTTGATATGTAAGACAACTTTTATTAATTTCTTTTTCTCACTGAACAAAAGAAAATTCACAAAAAGATTTATAATGAATCAGTTTTCAAAAGTATAAAATTTTTAGACTGGTGCTAATAGATGTGCTAGCAGTTGTATAAGACACTAATTTTCATGCAGACAGGCTCTAGGATCTATCTGTTGGTCAGTAAATATCGAGGAGGCGTCCTGCCTCAGGCATTGCCGTAAAAGTGAAGTGTATTTGGAATGAGACCCAGCTGTTGCTCTCCAGATCAAGCTCTAGTCTCTAAGAACTTCAGCAAATTCCAATTATTTTTAGACAAACGTCTGTGTTCAAATAGAGCAGTAATTTGCTCTAATTCACAGCTCTTATAAAAATAGATTTTATCTAACAGTTCACAAATGCAGCACCAGTTTATTTTGTCCTGAGTGGCAGGAAAAGAAGGTCATATTTTAACTTCTGAGTGTGGAAGCAAGAATTAAGGCTAAGAAGCTTTATTTTACCTCAAAAATGTTGGACAATCTATTAACAGGGTGGATTTCTGTCAAACATGTGTAAAGCATGAAGCCAGGTTAAAAAACAAATAAGATTCTAAAAATGATGCCATGACAATTTTTTTCTGCATGGAATATATATGCAAAACTCTCCCTAGAATGAAACATCACATGTAAATGATCTCTATGGTCACAAATTTGATATGTGCTCCACCAAATACCTCAGGTTGGTGAAGAACAAAGGGGGAGAAGTGCTTTTGAATTTGTTTCACTGTTATGGGACAGTAAACTATGGTGATGTTCATCAAAGGATTACAGAAGATCCACAGAACATTTGGAATGAAACAGAAGAGAACAAACAAATAAAACTTCATAGTTTCTTGGATAAAACTGCAAGTGGTTACAGCAGTAAGGAAAGAGGGTGTGGAGAGCTAAACTGGATGTACTTTGGTCCCAGATAATTTTTTGGCTAAATTCAAATTTTTTTCTTTTTTTAAAATTTTGGATGGTGCTGGGAATTTAACCCAGGACCTCGAGCATGCTAGTCAAGCCCACTACCACTGAGCTATATCTCCAGCCTTGAAAAAACATTTAAAAAAGATTTTATCCAAAGTGGTCATTTGAAGAGAAAGCAAACATGCCACATGTAATTATTTCAACACCTTTAAGTCACCTGAGTCATATTACCACACTTAAGAAATGCTGTGCCAATCCCTGATGAGGTCTATGCAGGAGGACAGCAAGCATGCATCATGACTACATAGTGATGGCTCAGCTATCAATGGACCGGCCCTAGGGCTGCGGTGCCAGCTACAGCCAGGCAGTTAGCAATCATAGGGATATTTGTACCAGATTTTCTAGTACCACCCAAAGCTGTGAAGTGGTGGTCCAGGCCTGCTAAATCGAGAAAGGTGAATGATGACTCAACAAAACCACCTGGGGACAGAACGTAAGACATGATTTTCAAAATAAATAAATAAATAAATAAATAAATAAATAGACACAAATGAACAAGAACTGAAATACTATGTAAAATTCAAGGTGTATTGAATTTACAGTACAAGCATTAAGCCTTTCACTAAGTCTAATTTTGTTATGATCTCATGTTCATTGAAGGAAGAAATAGCTTAGACCTCTACTACTATTTCTAGCTTTTCTTAAACAGCTGCATACTTTCTATCAAAGAATTAGTGTGATGTACACTTTAGGGTCAGAATGCACAAACTCAGTGTCAATTTTGATCTGTATTACTATGATTCTTCTAGAGAAAAAGATAAAATGGGTTAACTTACTCCTAAAAAATATAGGTTAACTTACTCCATAAAAAATATAGGTTAACTTACTCCATAAAAGATATGGGTTAACTTGCTCCATAATCCTTCTAACACTTATGCAAATAAATGACTAAAACAGAGTTAAGACTAGTTAGTTTTAGTAACGTTGAACAGATTCTTCTTTAAGGAATTTTGTAACACATGAGAAAAGTAGTTCATGTTAAGGGACAAGACCTTATCTTCTTACCTCCATCACCCTCTTATCCTCAAAGAGAGGAAGATTTAATGACAGTTTAATGATTTCAGAAGGATTTTTTGTTTTGCAAACAGATTTAGAAAAAAGAAGCATATGCACTTTTACCATCCAGGGAAAGAACAAAAAGGATGCTTTAAAGTGGCCTCTGGGTGTTTACCTGCACTGTGGATGCCAGAGCTCCCTTGGAGGGAGCCTCCCCACGACCACCTGTTAGGCTTCTGCCTTGGCTTCTGGCTCCTTTCCATTGTACGTCGTACAACTGCTTCATGACGTTCCTGAAACGGAACAGAGGAGCCAGCGGTTAGATTCAACCAGATTGTTTGAAATTTTTACAACTTAAGCAGAGTGGAGTGAGGGGCACTACCTAACCCTCCATGCCACCACTGCTAAGCTACTTGCTGATGTCTACACCTTGCCTGAAGGTAGGAATATCATAAAGCCCTTGGTATACAGCAGGAACTCAAATATCCTTGCTTCTGGGTGTGATGCTGTTCTCTACACACTCAGTCCTGGCAGTGTATGTCTGGGCTTTAAATGGATGCTTAAAAGATACACTACCACTTTTTTTTTTTCCCCCAGTGCAAGAGATCAAACCTAGGGCCTTGAACATGTTGAACAAGCACTGTATGACTCCGCTTTATCCCCAGCCCCCTATGTTATCTCATTTTAAATTTTTGTACTAAACTAAACCCAGGGCCACTTTACTACTGAGCTACATCCCCAGCCCTTTAAAAAATCTTATTTTGAGACAAGTTCTCCTTAATTTGCCTGGGCAGGCCTTGAACTTGTGATCCTCCTGTCTTAGCTTCTCCAGTATCTGGAATTATAGGTGTACACCACTGTGCCTGGCTGGTACCATATTTTAAAAAAGGAGTTCCCAATCTAAGGATGTACATAATCCCGAGTCCACAAATCAGTGAGCTATATAATCTGTGTGACTTCACCATTCTGAATCTCAATTTCCATTTGTGCAAAAACAGATATTAAGGTAAGGTTAAGTAATGAGACGTCTATATGAAGATGGTTATAAATGGTTAGGCCCTACTGAAACCCAATTATTTGGAGTATTCTTAACACTTCAGGACAGATGAGATGAACTGAACATTAATAAATCAGAGGTGGAGACCAGAGAAACGGGGCTTTTCAAGTTCCCATGGCAATAATAACCACCCATTCTCCACCTGATTCCCACACCCGCCCTCCCTAGCACCTTGGCCACAGGTACCGATGATTACTCGGAAACCATTGCATCCCAGCACCTGACTGCAAAGCTCCACAGAAGAGCACGGCATCTTGCAAACAGGAACCTCCCATGTCCTTCCTGGAGGGGCACTCACCTTGTCCTCCTCCAGCCTCTGCCTCCGCTTCTCCTCCACCGCAGCCCTCCTGCGCTCCTCCTTCAGCCGCTGCTCCTCCAGCTTCTTCTTCCGCTCTTCCAAGTGCTTTTCATAGTGCTGTCTGGCTCGCTCTTCCTTTTCTAACCAGACGATTTCTCGAGCGGCTACATGGGGCAAAACGGAGATCCAACAGGCAGGTTTAAACTGCGAATTCTAAGGCTGAGTGGTCTACATTTAACAAACATGGGTCTGTGGTCTTGCACTGACCAAGTCTAGCCTTTGCTTTCCTCAGATTCCCAAGAAGAGCACACTACAAGTGCCCTTAGTTTTCAGGATAATTTAATATGCCAACAAGGAGGTCAGAGAAGATGCATTGAATTCTACCCTGTGGGAACCCACATGCTCTGGGTTTAATCTTTAAATTGACAGAATACCCTCAAAATCAATAGTACAATCTGTCCCTTTTTTAAAAATGTGATATCCTCTAGTCTAGGACTACATTCCTTTCAACATAGCTTTGGTATTCTGGAAGAATTAAAAGGATGTGGGAGAAAATACTTAAATAAAAAGGATATATTAAGTGCCTCAAAGGTTTATCACACTGTCAGCAGTGCCACCTGAGGCACCAGGTAGGCAGCTGACCTGGTGTCTGAGGAGCTCATGATATACTTAGATAACACCTAAGCCTATCCACAGCCAGGTGAAAAGTACTATTCAAAAAACACTGTTCAGGTATGGAGTGGCAGCACAACCCTGTAATCCCTGCCACTTTGGAGGCTGAGGCAGGAGGATCACAAGTTCAAGGTGAGCCTCAGCAACACAAGCAAGACCCTGTCTTAAAATCAAACAAATGAAAAGGCTTGGGATGGTAGCTTAGTGGCATAGCACTTGCCTAGCTTGCTCAAGGCCCTGGGTTTCATCCCAGATACCTCGAACAAAACAAAAACGCTGTTCAACAATGGGGCCATGCATGGTGACACATGCCTGTAATCTCAGTGACTTGAAAGGCTGAGGCAGGAGGATCACAGATTCAAGGTCAACCTCAGAAATTTAGTGAGACCCTGGCTCAAAATAAAATATAAATAAAAAGGGCTGGGGATAGAGCTCAGCAGTAAAAGCATCCCTGGGGTAAATCCCTGGAAGGAAGGAAGGAAGGAAGGAAGGAAGGAAGGAAGGAAGGAAGGAAGAAGGGAGAAAGGAAGGAAGAAAAGGAAGGAAGGAAGGAAGACTGTAGGCAAAAGTGTCCATACAAAATTTAGAGCATAAATCTTATGGCATATAAATAAAAATGTTGCTTTTTAAAAGACAAAATAGAAATTCAGAATATTTCTGATAGCACATTTCTGATAGCATTAATTCCTTCCAAAGTTAATCATTTGAGGACACAAATCTACTAAAAAAGATCTGAAGTAACTTCAGCAGAAAGAAAAGGCAACAAATCTGAGGTGAATTGTCCTTCTAACATTCTGCTGGTACATGGGGAGAGCTGGGACTGGCACATGAGAGGCCCGGTTTTCCAAACAGCCAAGTGATGGACAGATGTGTCTGTCCATTTAGATTTCAGTCTTCTCTTGCTTTGGATGAGGTAACTCATCTTCTAGGTTCCTCCCAATTTATTTTGTGTGTTGGGGGACAGGTACTGGGGATTGAATTCAGGAGTACTCAACCACTGAGCCACATCCCCAGCCCTATTTTTATATTTTATTTAGAGACAGGGTCTCACTGAGTTGCTTAGCACCTTGCTTCTGCTGAGGCTGGCTTTGAACTAGTGATCCTCCTGCCTCAGCCTTCCAAGCCACTGGTTATTACAGGTTTGTGCCTCCTCGCCTGGCTGTTCCTTCCAATTTTAAAGTCCATTGTTCTGAAAAAATTCCCAGGCTCAAGTTTAAAATTTACTTCAAGAAAAAGCATAGTTAAGTGTTGAGTGCAATATTTACTAAATGCCTGAATAAACAAAAGACACTGAGAACACACCTTAAAAGTTGACCGACAAGGAACATAATTCTGAGACTTCCTCTAGATGCACTTACTTTGATCACACATACTCATGCACAAAATACCTTCTGGATTTTCTACATGGGATTACCTTAACAGCAGGCTTTTAATGATGCTACACATTTAAATTCATGTAAAATGGTAGATGTGCAGTAATAGATCTTGTTAAAGCTTAAACGGTACAGAATAGTAAAAGATAAAACGATTGTCTTCCTCCCACCCCAGACTCTCTTATATTCCATTTCCATCTTTTGAGAAATGTACCCCACACATATTGAACCACAGTATACCTACTATCTGCTCTTGCTGTCTTCACTTAACATCTCTTAGAGATCTTTTTTTGTAGCAACACATGAAAACACGAATCTAACAACACCTTTTAATGGCTACATACTGTTTCACTGTTTGTGCACTTAATTTTATATAAACGGTTAACTGTTGATTGATAGTAAAATGCTAAAACCAATTTATAACCTAATTCAAATTTTGAATGACACATTATCCTAAATCTCTGTGTAAATATGTGGGTGTGTCCATGAACAAGTAGAACTCCTGAGTCAGAGGGAATATACAGTAAAAATTTTGATAGATATAGGGCTGGGGTAGAGTACTAGCCTAGCTAAGTTGCTCAGTTGCTAAGGTTGTCCTTGAATTTGCAATTCTCTAGACTTAGCATCCCAAGTCAATAAGGATTATGAATGTGCGTCACTATGCCTGTCTCAGAGTATAAATCTTTTTTTTATGCTTATGGTGGGAATATAAATTGGTATGACCTCCACCGAGACAGAATGGTAATAGTTATCATAGTTTTATTTTGTGCAGTGCTGGAGGTTGAATCCTCATACATGCTAGGCAAGCACTCTACCACTGAGCTACTTTCCCAGCCAGTATGGTCACAGGTAAGTTACTTAACCTCCCTGGGATCAGTTCTGTCAGGGTAAGTTATGGATAAAAACAGGACCTTCCTCAGATTCACTGTGAGGATTAATAGAATAATTACACTTAAAATATTAGAATAGTTCTCTACTTACTAGTCACTTAGTGAAGTTTAACATAACTATCATCATTATAATCATTATTTTGACTCAGAAAATTAAAGATAGTTCTTAAGGCTATACTATAAAATCACAACAGAACTAGACATCATTATAGCAATAACTGTTTTCCCCCCAAATAATCTTTCAAGGAAGAATATTTCCATAGACAAACTTTTGTTCCACTTCTGTTTTCTACCAGGAAGTGAAGATCCTATTAACACTTTCTTTAAACAATTATCTGTATGTAAATAGTCATACAGAGAATAGGCAAACAATGTTGAAATAGCAAATAGCACTTTCTTGTTATTTCCGAGCATGCTGGTAAGTGCTAGGATGAGTTGCTAAGTATAGATTATGTTATCTTTTAAAATGAAGGCTAACACATAAAAGGTTTAAATATTTTAATAAGAATTGAAAGTTAATTTATTCTATGAGTTGTAGTACTTTAAAATATTCTCTATAGATGATAGATTGTTCTAAAGTTGTGTTTTTTCTTGCACATACCTTTTTTTTTTTTTTTTGGTGGAACTTGCAATGTTCTACTATTAAGCTACACTCCCAGCTCCTCCCTCCCCTTTTTTTGAGACAGGCTCTTGTTAAATTGCTGAGGTCACTTTGAACTTGTGATGCTCCTGCCTCAACCTCAAAAAGTACTGGGATTACTGAAGAACACCACTAGCCCAGCAAGTTTGTATGTTTTCTCACTAAGAAATGAGAATTCCAGCTGGATGGTGGGGGTGAAAGTTAAAAAAAACAAAGCCAGAAGAAATAAAACCAAGACTATCACGACTGAGTTTTTTGATTGGGCTAAAACCAAAAGTACCCAGCTATGCTGTTGAAAAGAAACGAAGCTAAGACCTGGGGAGGCAGCTCAATGGTAGAGCTCTTGCCTAGTATCCAGAGGCCCTGCTTTGATCCCCAGTACTGGAGGGAAGGGGGAAAAAAACAAGGTGTCAAATAAAGCATAAAAATAAAGATGGCACAAATAGCTATTAGACAAACAAAAATATAATAAATGTTAATATATTACTACCAGACAAAATGGAATTGAAATGCAAATGAGGAAAAAGATATAAAGAAATTAAATAATGGTCCAAAAGAATCAGAGTTGGGATTTTAATTCAGCTCTGATTCCAAAGCTTATACTAGGTTACTACGCAATACTGCTTCTATATTTATTTCTGCTTGTCTCCAATTTCCACCTGAGTACTCAGTAAGATCCATCGCATAACCTTTAGTCATTATCTGCACATTCCTCCCTACCCCAAATTGGCAAATGAGGTGTGTTCTGGTAATAGATTTCACAGACAAAATGGCCTATGAAATTAGAAACGCCAAGGTCTTCCTCCCCTCCTCCCTCATGGATGCTCCACCCTAACTCAACACAAACAACAAAACTATCTTGTTATATCAGAACAATCTTTCACATGCAGTACAGCCTCTCCAGGCTTCTTGTACCTCTTCAAATCTATCATATTCACTATTTCCAGAGACAGCTTCCCCCAAAACAAACCAGGACAGCTTGTTAGTTTCCCTGCCCAACTCTTTGGTTTGGCTTTAAAATCACTCTGAACTTTGACACGGGCTACCTCTGTCCAGAATACTTCCTTCCAACCGTAAACTTTATGGTCCTTCAAATCCTTGGTCAAACACCAGTTCCTCTGAACAGCTAAAGTGCTCCAACTGAACTGCTCTGTTCAGTTTTCCATCACTGTCCTTACATGGCAGAAGGTAACACCCTGTGTTTAACTACTGGAGCTCTTCCCCACATTCACAATGTCTAGTTAAGCAGACAGTTAAAGTACATTTCAATAAATGAACTAAAGAGTTAAAGGACTCAAGGGCTTCCAAGCAAGGTGACTTCTATTGGCTTTAGTGATAATTCAAAGCCTTCTCAATTTGTCATTTAAATTGTTCTTTCATTCAACTCGCATTTGGATATTACATGGGGAAGAATAGTCTGGTAGGAAGCGTGACCTTGCTGGGTGTGGAAAGTACACACTGTAGTCCCAGCAGGAAGATGGCAAGTTTGAGGCCTGACTCAGCAACTTAGTGAGGCTGTCTCAAAGAATAAAAAGGGCTGCAGATGTAGCTCAGTGGAAAAGTACTCCTGAGTTCAATTTCCAGTCCCA